TAGCAGAGATGGCTAAAATATCAGCATACTTGAAGGACCATTCAGATGAGAAATATAATGGAGAAGATTGACTGATTACATTCAAAATAAATATGGGTCTAAGAAATTTCAGTTAGCTTATGAATGAATGAACAAGGAATGTTACAATTTATCTAAAGTTAGCTTTACAAAAGGGGAGTTAAAGTATAAGTGAAGGTATGATGCTCAAGTTAGTTTATTTTAGTGTATGATTGATAATGTTTATACCCTGTATTTGCTCTGGGAAGTTGGGAGGGAAGGGGAAAGATGTACAATTGTAAAATTTATTAAAACTTTTTTTAAAAAAATAAATAAGAAAAAACTTTTAAGATTAAGATTTAAGATTAAGATTTAATTTATTTGTATGCCGCCCTTCTCCATATTTGTATTTGTATGCTGCCCTTCTCTCTTTGAATTATTCATGTTGCTTTCCATGCAGTTTGGAACATTTTCAATCAAAAGCACACCTTATTTGCTTGGAGAGCAGTAAACAATGGGCGCAGGATGCTTTAACCAAATCCGTAGCTAAGTCAACTGAGAAACATTTATCCAGTACTTGCACAATATTTTCTACTGTTTACGATCTGGCACAAAGATGTAATCCATTCTCAGACATTGAAGCGCAGGTAAATTTGCTAACTACGGTTGGAGTGGATGTGAGAGTTGGCTTGCATTCACGGAGATCCGCAGTGAAAATAGTTGAATTCATTGCGAATGAAATCAAAACCACCATGTTTTCCAGGATTATTGCAAAGAATCTAAAGGTGTGCCTAATCATCGACGAAGCCTCAACACTTTCAATGAAAGCAGTGCTAATAGTTTTTGTTAGAGTTGAGGATCCAGAATTCCCAGCAACCATTTTCGTTGAGCTTTTGGAATTAGAGAAACAAGATGCGGTAACCATGTGTTCTGCAGCGATGGGAAGCTTGTGTAAAGTTGGGTTTACCACCGAATATCTGCAGAAGAATGTAATCACTTTCTGCTCCGATGGTGCCAACGTTATGCTTGGAAGAAAATCTGGAGTCACCACCAGAATAGCTCAAGACTTTCCAAACATCGTAATCTGGCACTGCTTGAACCACCGCCTCCAACCTGTGCTGGATGATGCAATAAGAGAAATAAAGCAACTCAACCACTTCAAGATCTTCCTTGATAAAATATATACCACCTTCCACAAATCCTGCAAGAACTAGAATGACCTTTTCCAAATCTCTGAACAATTGGGCATTGAAATTGTAAAGATTGGCAGAGTTGGGATCAAGATGGGCTGCCTGTAATTTAAGGGCAACCATGGCTGTATGGC